TCGGTCGCTTGCCAAATCGCGTACTATGAAAGCAGCCATCCCGAGTATTTTACTAATGAATTTCCCATGAGGATGAAAACTGTAATCCCTATCTTATTACACTTGACTGGTTCAGCTGGACGACTGCGATCCGAACCCCACTCTCGAAATCTCCAAGTAAACATTGTGAGCATTCGCTTTACCTTATGCTTCTCAGTAAATGGTGGCAAAAGATACACCCACAAGATAAACTTGAAGATTGTCCTTCTTACTTCTGTGGCCTCATACCTCCCTGAATTATATGTGTCGAGTGCTACAAAGCAGCTGATTCAACTATTGATCGTCTCTATTCCCTCTTGCAGGCACCACGCTGTCCCTATGTCATTTTACTCCTCTTAACTCCCATATCTCTAGAGTAACTTCTGAAAAATAGAATTCTGTTTCACATGTTGCAGATGGCGTCTGATGGTTTTTCGGTTTCCACAAAAATGTTTTACTGCAAATCCAATTTTACTCCAATTCAGTGACCTTCCTCCTTTTCATTTGTATTTATTTGTTTATTGTTTACATTTAAGTTTAAATACACCACATTATAAAGATGAATGAGTTACTTCATCAGATCTGGGTCATTGGTCGATTCCCAGCTATTCGGAATGCGACGACCAAGCCCGGGAGACTCGGGAGGAACACTTATCGGAATTGCACGAAGGCCGAGAGGGGTATGTTCACATGTAACCTTGAATATTTTCGAGAAGTTTATTTCAGACATATTCTTTTCAGTTATCTCTTCTCGAAAACGACATATCATTGAAAAAGGAAAAGAGGTAGAGCTGTGTGCTCTTATTTTTCACATTTTTAGTAGGATTGTGATTAGCCTAACATATGAAATATTAGGAACTTTTCTTCTTCTATGCGCTGGAATCGCAGAACCAATCCTAACAGCAGCGTACTAGTCGCCAATTCGTGTTTAGGCACGCCCCTCATGTTACGCCCCGCCCCTATTTCAACTGTGCGTCAGAGCAGCATGCCCAGCCGTCAATCGTCTCTGCTCTCTCTCGTCTATAGCGCACGGACGCAGTATCTCTAACTCCTTGAAAACTCGTACATTTACGGAAATCAGCCACAAAGTTTACGCTTCATTTCGCTGAATTTTCGCAGGGTCTTTTCAATTTTGCTAAGCTACTGACCTCTCCTACTTCCATGTACGCCAAATCATCGTACACACATTCTTTGATCTGAAAATTTTTCTGAAAATCAGAATACTTTTTCCCATCAAAGCCTAGTCGAGCATGAATTGGTCATTTCCTAGCTTTACTAGTAGGTAACGTTTGTCGAAAGGATCTGCTAACCGTTGTTTTCAGAATGGATTCTGTCAATTCGATCTGCTCCATATGTCGACACCATCGGAAAAAGCGCCCAGGTTTCTCGCTGAAACGCCCACCTACACATAATATTGATCATCTTCTTTACCTTAATGTTGATTGAACATTTGCGAACTACTGTATATATGTTCAAACAGATCTCTATTGTATTTCAAACAGAGTACCGTAGAATGACTTTGGAAGAACCTCCACAGTATTTTTTTTTGCTCAGTACTAGTAACCGTTTTCTGGGAGACGGGCGTTAGGAACGATTTTNGCGCACGCGGCTGTCGCGGACCACTCATTCGCCGTCATTACAGTTCTAGCGCTCTTCATACAGCTCAATCGATATGCGATCATTATTTTATGCATAATTCTACTATTAGTTCTTTTGTTCTTGTATTTCTTACCTACTGCTGCATCCTGCTGCATTCCTTCGCGCGCAACGCCCCTCTGACCGCGACGCGACCATTTCGTTCCTTATGCACCACACCCACCGTTTTCTTAGTAACTTTTCGCAGTGAGTTCCTTTGCTGTTACTATAGAGGCATTCTCTAGCTTGCACTAAAGGTTTTCACATCAGAAAGTTATTTATTCCAGTTACAAAAATCTGCGTTTTTGGTGATAAATTGAACTAATATCAAGCTGTTCACAAAACGCGGAGTAGTATATGAGAGGGCGTTTTTCAGTTTCTTTGTCAGTTGAGGTTTTTCCAGGGCCCACAACCATGGGTAATATGAGTATCTGATAAGTACAATAGACGTCATAGTACTACTTTACTGTTTCAGAACAAATTAATGAAGGAAACGTGATATTAACAGAAAAGAAGCGTGGAATATGATGATTTAGAGTTTTTTCAACTTTTTGCGGTCTCTGTTTTTTCCTCTTCGTTCTTGCTCTATCAAGGTCGAACATAAGTGCCGCTATAGGAGCAATAATTGCAAAAAATGGGTGGCTGCGACCTAGTTTTTGCATGTTTGTCTGCAACTTTTGTTGACATGACGTACCTACCCCGTTATGCTTAAGAACTACACAGTAAGCAACGATGTCGAGCTGATTATGCTTAAAAAAAATCAGAAAGTCACTTTCAATGAAGAGCACAATGTTAATCTACTAGCAATCGACACCAAGGAGTAGTAAATGCTACGCCATGCATTCGCCAAGAACAATGTTTTCCGTAGTGATAAAGTCTGCATTACTGTCGATCCCTTCAAAATAAAGAGCTTTGTGTGGTAAATTCAAAGCCCGGTGGCATTGAAGATCACCAAACTGAATGAACTGGTAACGTAGCGAGTATTTCTGTAAAAAATCAATTTCGATCGAGAAAGACCACTGATCAATCGGGTCAGTAGTGCTCGTTGAAGACGTAGACTGTGAGCCTGGAATAACGTAAGCGATAAGACGAATCGATGCGATTCGCACTTCATTCGTCGACCCAACCGGAAAACGTCAGCATCTTCTTGACTTGATTCTATTTGCACTATTCCTGACACCACTGTACCGCTCTACTGGTAGCCGGAAAGTTCATCAAGCAGAGCGTGCTTTCAGATCTTCTCTAGACCCAGGGAATGAACACACGCTTTTATAGAAATGAAGTGAACAAGGTTGGTTTTATTTACGACCCAAATTTGTACCTTTCATTCAGGTGCCATCCTAACGAAGAGTACCTTTACTTGTGTACGCTATAAGTTTTTTGTCGATAAGCATGACACTGCTTGCAAACTTTGTCTCATTTTCACAATTTGCTTAGAGCTAATTCTATCCGAATCTGCTTTTTTTCTCTTTGATATTTTTAACTTCGGTAGATTAATTACGGTTCTTTCATCGCTTGTTCCTTTTCTTATCCCAAGCCTTTTCAAGATTGAAAGCTCCTTCAAGTTGAATTCATTCACAAATTTACAGTATTTTGGTGCAAATGAATAAAAAATTAGGCATTATAATAATAGTCTGTCGGTGAAAGTCATGTTTGCGGTTTGCGGCAGAAAAATCCACACGAAGTTTTCGAGAGCTGGGCACTCCTCTGGTTCCCTTGGGCGCTGAAAACCAGAACTTTGAAAAAATTTTCAGAAGTTTATCGCGACAAGTATGGGTAATTGTATGACCCTTATACGGAAGTTCAAAAGTGACGTAGTCACTTTTTGTTTTTTTTTTCAAGTTTTAGTTTACGAATAATATTACGTCCAAATAATCTTGTGGGCCATTCATATTAAAGACCTTGGCAGGAGCCCTTGAGTACTCAACTATTGCGATGGATCCAAGAGAGAATTCCAGCGGACGATGCTATGAGGATCAAATCTCTTTCGAATTACAAGGAGATCCAGTCCTTAGGAAAAGGAAGATTTGGTGAGGTATGCCAATAAATAACAATTTACTCAACTCTTTATAAAATTATAATTTTCAACACTGTTCTTCTATCTCCACAAAAAAAAGGAACTATTTTTTTGAAAAAACATTGAATTTGAAGTAAAAACGAATCGGATGAAAAATTTTAATATGGTTGAGATTTTTGTCAATTTTTCCTGTTTTCTACCACTTCCATTGTTAACTAGGACTTGTTGTTACTGCGATTTCTTGAATTTCTTTATTTCAGGTCATGAAATACCTGAACACCTCAAAAATGGTTCATGAGACGGTAAAACGGGTGCCAATGGAGCTGTTCAATCATTGGAGCCAATCAGACTACCGAATTTCTCAGGCACGTTGTTTTCCGTTTACTGCCATTGACGTACAAGTCTGCAGGTCGGAATAGGAGGGAGATAAGGTAAACAAATATGTGAAGAATGCCGGAATTTGGTCATAAATTTAGCTTGGATGGATGTAGTGTAGTGGCAAGTGGTGCATTATCGCACACACCAGGTCAAGGGTTCGAGTCATCTATCAGTATTCGATAGCCGTTTCAAACCTTCCATACTTGCGGGGTTAGTTATTCGGTACCAGACTCTTTTGTGAGGATAAAAGCACTGACTTGTACCACCTGCTGGCCACCGCAATTCTTCGGCTTTATCCTTTATGCGTTTTGTAGCATAAGTATGATATGCGCAAGGAGCCCATGGAACAATGGTCCCATAGGCCCCACGTATTTATACTGGTAGGAGGTGTAGAAGAAAAATGTTGATGAACTGAGTGAATTACAGCGATTGGACGTGTTCATTGAAGAATTCCGCCATTTGCATCGCATCAGCCTAGCGAATGACAGAATTGTGAATTTCCTTGGTCTTTATGCTGACAGGTACGTAACGACGATTTTTTTGTCAAAGGATTTCACCAGTTCTTTGAGATCTTTCTTCCATCTGTTATTGTTGCAGCCATCAACTACTAATTTTCACGGAGTACCTTCCAAATGGCTCGGTTAAGGACAAGATCATGAATAACAATATCAATGAAAGCACGGCTCTGCACTATTTTACTGATGTTGGTACATTCAGCTATTTCCTGGGAATTCTAAGAAAATCAGTGAGAATATCAATTTAAAAAAGGCCATACAAGACATGTGTCCCTCTATCAGCTTTGCTACGTGCTGTCTGTAGTTTGTGTCATATAAAGCTGAAAAATAGTCTCACTCCAATTATTCTGGTCTTTAACAGCCGACACAAAGGCGCTGCGGTGCGGTGCGGCATGTCAAGCAATCAATACGCCGCGTACCATCAATGTGCTAACTAGCATTTCACGGTGCCGCGCTATGTCTGTGCGCTGTAGACGCGACCTATCGCATTCGGTTGTTCATAGCAACTTTTTTTCAGGCTTTAAAAGCGCTGAATTACCTTCATAATCTTGATCCTCCTGTTGTACACAGAGATATAAAAGGTATTTTTGGATAGTTTTCTCATGTCTTTTTCCATGTTTTTATTTCATGTCTGTCTTTTTTTAAAGTTATTTTTGTTCACATTCTTTGATACGACGGTAGTTTCACTTCGAGCTCATTGTGATCTGATCCTTTTGATCTATCTCGGAACCTTGACTAATGGTATGGAAGGAGGAAAAACGAAGAGAATACAAGCACCATTAAAGGCACAGTTCACGATAATTTTAAAGTACCCCTTTTCAGTCGAAAAGTGGAAGTACAGGCTGGGAATAGTTCATAGGTAGTGAAGGAAGCGAGAAAATTTCGCCTATTTCGAGAAAAACAAGGCTCCTCAAAAGTAGGGGAAATAGAGGTTGGATGAGATTACCATGACTGAAATAACATGGAAGGGGTATTGGGACGAGATTTCGGTTGTTGCAATTGCGCAAAGAGTTGACTACATGAAGCCAGAATTGTACAGAACTGCCTTTCACTGCCGTCATGGGTACTCCCGTCGTCCCTCCGAGAACCGGTGGCGTAGCCATGTATTCATTCTGAGATCCTGGAAAGGTGCCAACTTAAAAGCTAATTGTAAGTTCAACTTTTCTAATATTCAATATTATAGCGGCTAATCTTTTGCTGACTATTAGTGATAGCGTGAAGTTGGCCAATTTCGGTTTGGTTAGAGATCTTGCTATAGATGGATTCGGTATAGCTGTTGCATCGGATATCACTTTGGATTTTCGAGGTAAGCCAGAGCGTTACTGACTTGCTTGGATGGTTTTGTATCCGGTAGAATACGAATTATAGAAAGAGGAAATTTGTCTTCAGGTACACTTCTTTACGTTGCTCCGGAAGTCCTGACTAGCGAACTTGGGCCCGGAAATCGGAAAGCGTACGGAAAGCCAGCTGATGTGTGGTCGGTCTAATGCACCAACAATCTGTAACATTTACTCTGAATGAACTTTACAGGGCTCTGGGATGCACGCTTATCGAAATGCTGACCAAGTACCCACCTCATTTTGAATATTTTGGACACGTTGAGGCCATACAAAGCGAGATTCTTGATAGAGCATATGGAGACAAAAGCAATGTAAGTGAGTTATGAAGTTAACGCTGATAGACCTTCCCCAAAAAGAGCAGATTGGAGCATTTGGCGAGCACCTGTGCGCATTATTGATAACAGCCGCGGGCGGTCGCGAAACGTTCAAGGCGTTTTCATGGCGCATAGTCTGGGCGCTTTTTATTCCTTCCGACGAGGTGTCTGTAAGTGTAGGGAAAAGTAAGAAAGTTGGCGTCATTTTGTGGGAACTCTACATCGAAATAGGGAAGCCATCACGCGGTTCTTATTCCTATTGACAACAATAGTTTGCATGAAATCGAACGGTGGCTTTATTTAAAAACCAAAGTGTACAGTTTGTGCCAATTTTTTCTGTCACTGCGTCAATGAATGCTACATATTCTGTCCACTAGGATTTTAAACCACACCTCTTTGTCCTGAACGTGACTAACAAATTTTGAAAGGGCTTGCTGCCACTTCCAAAAAATCGTTTTTTGTGTTGCAGTGGCTGCCGTACAATGCAGATGTTCTTGTTCCTACCTGCTCATCTTCGATGCATAAGCTAGTGGACGAGATTTTCGAACGAGATCCCAATATCCGGCCTAATACCAGTAAACTGTGCGACATTGTGCAATCCCTCGTGAAGTCTGGAACATCACGCACCAGTCAGCAGTCCGGACCATGTATGAGCGTAAGGTTATACTTCTTTATTTCTGGTCCCAGTTTTTCGTAGTGTTGGATGAAAAATGTTAGCATAGTCAGCTCTTTTGTGCTACTCAAATCGTTGCTAAGTTGTGCTCCTCCACGCTTTGTCCGTTGTTTACTTAATCTATGACCTCATACAATAGGATTTCGCAGCACCAACAAAACTCGACAAAAATAATTGCAAAGGTGGAGTTGAGTAGAGAAGGTTTATTTGCATTCTATGTAAGGTTATATGGAGATTTCACTGCTAATTAAACGATAAGATTCGGTCCAGGTCCTTATCTTGTCGCCCCGGTTATTCATGGGATGCTCGACCTTTGCCTGGTGCTCAAAGGGCTCTTTAGGCCGATCTTGTGGGCTTTAATTGTTCATAACCCCAACTAAGCATTTTTAGTTGTACTTGAGTGATTTTCGAAGCGGCTTGTTTCTTCCCGTAGGTTTGGGGTAATTAGGGTTCTTTATTCGAGTATTTTGATATTTGGCAGCTTGGGTTTAGATGGGAAAACTAGGAGAAATCTTCTTGTGAGTGTCATGGGTGACGAAGTCTCGTTTCCATTGAGCCTCAACTTTCTCATTCAGCTCTCATTCCTGTCTCCAGGTTCCTTTACTATTCTTTGTTCTTGGTGGTCACGTAGACTTTGCCCTATCCCCTCCCCCTCACTTCTCTCCACCCCCTTGAATACATAATAAAGAGTATATTACTTGCCAGTTTCAGGGTTATGAAGCAAATTCGGAGACGGTGAGGACAGAAACAGAACGGAAAGTTGGTCGCAACTCCCAAAAACATTCACCGATAGCGTCTTTGCCATCGTATACCCCACTAGAAACGATTGAAAACGGTGTGATACGACGTAAAAGGAAAGTACGACGAAGGACGACGAGAAAGGGAGCACTACAAAAGTGCTCCATGTTGAGCATGTATTTCTTTTCTCGAGTGCTCTATTTTGCAGGTAACCTATCAATGACATTTTCGAGTCATCATAAGCCGAATTTGTTAAGATTTAAAGGGGCACTGTGAAATTGCTCATTATCGATTGCCTTTTCAGGGATTCTTGGAAAGTCGGTATTATACGTGATATCATTTTTGTTGCTCGGCATTGGAACACTGTCGTTCTTTCTCTTTGTATCATTTTGTATAGTGCTATCGTTTCGTTATCTCATCAAGTTGAGTTGCGAATGTGATCTCTGGCAACCGCAGTATATAATCATCAGTGGAATACTTCTCATACTACTTTTCGCATTACTGTTTAGGTGAGACTTCTATTTTTTTCATAAAATTGCTAAGGTAAGCATTAGGTATTTAAGTTATAAGTTAAGTTACTTATAAGTTGAGAGCTATCAGCATCCTGATAGCTTAAAACTTACAAGTATTTTCATTATTCTCAACGATGCGGTATGGCATTCATTACCGTTTATTTAGTTGTTTACTCTGATATCGAAACAATGCACGATTAGACGCGTTATAACAAGATCTCTGTGATACAAAAATAGTCTCCCTGAAGCAGCATCAATGAATACACTAGTGGGAATTGTTAATAACATCTGCCATACCCCAAATTTCCCCAAAAATTTACCGACTGTTAAGGAATGCAAAACGTATTAATCACTAAGATACTTGACTCAAAGGGTTTAAGAAATTTTTGTGAAAATAGTTCTGGTAGTGCATTTTAATCGCAGTTGCCCGTCTCTAAATGCCCACATAATGAAAACATCTTTCAATTAAGTGTGTTCGACTGCTATCAAACCTATTGGCATGAATATTTTATCATAATGAGAAAGCAATGGTTTTTTCACTTTATTTCTGCTAAATGAACAAGCTTTTTTTGCATACTTCATTCGAAATTTCGGTTTTCCTATTCATCAGTTAGTGATCTACGTCATTTGACTTACAGTAATGATTTCAGTTGCTGTATGGTCGCATTGGGTGAATATAAGTATCGAATTGCTAACAAAACCTTACGAGAATCTCNCGACTGCTATCAAACCTATTGGCATGAATATTTTATCATAATGAGAAAGCAATGGTTTTTTCACTTTATTTCTACTAAATGAACAAGCTTTTTTGCATACTTCATTCGAAATTTCGGTTTTCCTATTCATCAGTTAGTGATCTACGTCATTTGACTTACAGTAATGATTTCAGTTGCTGTATGGTCGCATTGGGTGAATATAAGTATCGAATTGCTAACAAGACCTTACGGGAATCCCGATTCTTCGTACATCGACCTCAACATGATCTCGTTTTATGTGGCATGACAATACTTCGCGCTCGAAAGGATACGACGGAAGAGGATGATGACGAAGGACTTGCTCCGACTATTCCTCCACTGGCGCCTGCTGCTCATGCCGATTCCATTGACCGGAATTTCTATTATAAATAATACTGAAGTGGTTAAGTGTTGTGTTTTGGATTGTGTTTTCGGCCGATAATCGTTGGGAGAAGATGTCGGCGATTAGGAATCACAACAACAGAAACCACTGCCGCTGTTGGAGAGCTCTTTGGTTGTACTCCTCATGTCTATTTGTAAACTAGTCATAATTTTACTTTGTTCATAGTACTATGTACTCTTGATGGCCATCCATTGTAAGTCCTGAATGTGAGAATTTGAACGAACTCGCACTTCAAACCGTAGAATAGCTTTTGGCCAGCATATCCCTGATGTGCAACGAATTCATTCATTTCAAAAACGATTCATTCATTTCAAAAACTCGATAAGAGTTTGCAAAAGAACTGCTACTGTGTAGGCTGTAATTTATTGTTACATTAAATTGTATTGTATTATATCATGTTGCAATTGTGATGAAATAAATTGCACTGGGTTAGTAATTTCAGAGAAATGCCCAATCCGGACTGTTTCCTGTAGATTTCGCTGACATTTGCAGACCTTTTCCAGATCATTTGACATCTGGTCAGCGTACGGGGTTTTCAAGCATGAAAAAAAACTTTCGGAAGGAAGCGAACGAATGGATGGAATCATTCACGTCGAAAAGACGTCATAGCCCATTTTTCTGCTTTGCCTCATGGTCCCCCCCCCCTACCCCCTCCCCCCGAACTGCAGAACTGCCGTTGTTTTCCTCAGTTTTACAGTTGGTATGAAGTAAGTAGA